GAGTTAATTTCTTCCATACTGATGCATGAAGGCATGCCTAGTTTTATTATTTTAATTTTTCCAGCTTTATTGAGGTAAGATTGGCAGATAAACGTTGCATATATTTAAGACGTATAATGTGACATTTTGATATATCTATATATTGGGAAATTATTTCCCCAATCAAACTAGTTGGCCTGTCCATCAGCTCCCGTATTAACCTCTTTTGTATGTATGTGAGGACATGTAAGATCTAGTGTCAGTAAACTTCAAGTATATAATACACCATTATTAACTATAGGCAAGTCTCATTGTATTTATTTATTTGTAATTTCAACTTTTAGATTTGGGGGTACATGTGCAGATTTGTTATCTGAGTATGTTTTGCGATGCTAAGGTTTGTGGTATGATTGATCCTGTCACCCAGGTAGTGAGCATAGTACCTGATAGTTTTTCAGCCATTGCCCTCCTCCTCTAGTTGTCTATTGTTCTCGTCTTTATGTCCATGAGTACCCAAGGTTTAGCTCCCACTTATAAGTGAGAACATGTGGTATTTCATTTTCTATTCCTGTGTTAATTTGGACAAACCTTCTCTTAAGAGGTCTACGTGATATCCCATTTTGTGACTGTGCCATAGTGGATTCAAACATCTTCTACTGCTGGGCATTAAGGTTGTTTCTCATAACTTTTATTGTAAAGGATGTGGCAATGAACAGTTTCATCAGATGTGACAAATTTATCCATGAATGGATTCCTAGAGGTGGAAATGCTGGTGTATCCTATTCCTAGTGGTATAGGATAGTCTAGTAATGAATAGATTGAAGAAGGAATATTTGACATCCAAGGGATGAATTACTTTACTTGAAACTGTTACTCCTTTCAGAAAAGTATGGAAATCGTTTCTCTGAAAGTATATGTGAAGCTTTAGTCCCTACAACCTATTAAATGTGTGACACTGGGCAAGTCCCTTACACTCTTTAAGTTTCAATTGCCCCATCTATCCAGTGGGAGTAATAACTATACTTATTTCATAAAGGGTAGTGACTTCAATGCTACTCCCCTCAAAAAAAAAAAAAAAATCCTAATCCCTGGCACCTGTGAATGCAGAGGTAACTAAGTTAAAGATCTTGAGATGAAGTGATCATCGTGGATTATCCAGGTGGACTCTAAATATGAAGACAAACATCCTTATAAGAAAAAGGCAGAAGATTTGAAACAGAAGACAGGAAGCCACATGCGCAGAGGAAAAGACCATATGAAGACAAGAGCAGATAATGCAGTGATACAGTCACAAGTCGAGAAATCCCTGGAACCGCCAGGAGATAGAAGAGGCAAGGAAGGATCCTCTCCTAGAGGCTTCAAAAAGATCACAGCCCTGCTGATGCCTTGATTTCTGACTTCTAGCCTTCAAAGCTAGCAAAGAATACATTTCTATTATTTCAAGTCATTTAGTTTGTGGTAATTTTTATGTCAGCCCTAGGGAACTAATACACAGGGTGATAATAAGAGATAATTTATGTAAAGTTTTAAAAGACTGTCTCCCTGGTTTATAATAAACCTTCGATAATTATTGGGTTTTATTATTTTTTCACTAATCTAAGTCTCTGGACTTGAGCAGTAGTAGTGAAGATGGAGGGAACTAGACAGATTCAAAAGTTATAAAGGACTTGTTAAGAGGCTAAGTATAGGAGGTGAGGGAAACAGAGGTGCAAAGATGGGCCCTGAGTTCCTGGCTGTGGAACTGGATGGATGCTGGTGTTGTTTACAGGAGTAGGGAATGTGAAAGGCTTGTGGGGAAATGGAGAGTTCAGTTTTGGATACATAGAATTGGAGGAGTTTTAAAGATATTCAAGGAGAGTTCAAGTAGACAGTTAAATATGAGGGTCTGGAGCTTAAAAGGAAGTCTAGAGTGGAAATATTATATGTGAA